GCAGAAATATATTTCACTTCTCTTCATCCTGCCATTTTCCTTCCTTCCCATCCTGCATCTCAGCGTTCATGTCTACCACTTCTGTCTTACTGTCCTCAGTCTTCTACCATGCTCAGTCTTTACTTTTACCAAATATTATGGAAGTGAAAACCATGTAGTAACAGGTGGTAACATCCTGCCTTTACTTTTCCTTTCAAGTAAAGCAGGGAGATGGCAAACATTAGCTATTACAAAAGGCTTTCCTTCCAATAAATGGTAATAAGTTAGATCTCCAGAAGCATCTAAGCTTCAAATTAAGCTTAAAAAGCATCCCAGTGAAAGAGCAATAGGCAGAGACTACTTGAGAAACTGGAATACTGGCACTTAATGACAATAGGAGCTTGAAGAAGAGAGTAAGGAAACTGTCTCATCAGACAATTACTTCACATGCTCTCTCTGATACTATAATCTTCTATGCAGCATAGTATTAATAGAATTGCCAATACTTCCCAAATAGATTTGTCGCTCCACCATGGACACTTATCTTTCTCGCTACACTATACTTACTACTGTTAGCCTTTATAATTCAGAATAGCAAGCCAATAAACTCACAAACCATGGGAACCAAGGGAAGAATGAGTGCTTATCACTAATGGTAAGGAACTCAATAGTATACTTTACTGAGTGAAAGATCTTGATACTATGACATTTGTAAAATCTAGCACGATTCTTTACAGGGTCAGGACTTCAAACCTGCATGGGAGTTTCTCACCTCTACCTAAAATTGCAGTTTTTTACTACAACCAGTCATTAGAAAGCTGAAGATAATTGTATCCATTATATATGCCCATTTATCTGTATAAAAATGTCTCATGCAACACTCAAAAGTGGCAAAGATCTTTTGTCAGGTACTACGATTTAGTATTTCAAGTTCATCTGTAGACAGATTCTCAGAGTCTACATCAATGAATAAAATGCAAAAAACTTAATAATTTGGTGGTAACCTTACAAATTGCAATTCGTATCTTTCTGACATCTGCAAACATCTGTCTTAGACACTGAAATTAATGAGTTATGTCAAAAGATTTCATGTTCTCAGTGACAGAAACACTAAAATGTTCTTTATGTAATATGAACAGAATGTCACTAAACAATTTGTTAGATTGTGAAAAAAATTGATCTGTATTCAGAGATGCTAAATCTAAATGGAGCACTTAAAACCTACATAATCTAAATGATCTATTAATTGAATAACTCAATGTATACTCATCTATATGAAATTCAGCTTGTGAGGCTGTGTTTAAATCGAGTACAAAAAATTAAGCTTATCGAGACTAAAAACCATATATTTGTATTGTATTTGTAATGTCATTGCTAAAATAAAAGTTATATTCTGATGACAAATGTGACCATAAATCCTGTAACTTCACATTTTGACTTTATTACTTCCAGAATTTCTTAATTCTTTAATTCCCTCCAGCTCAAGAATGACTAATTAATTCAAAGAACCATAATAGCTAATCATTGGTTAAATAAATTTAAAAACAGAACGTCTGTCCCTGGAGATACCATTGTTCATTTTAATTAAAATTACCATTTTGTGATGTAATGTAAATAAAGGTTGTTGTATCCTTCTGCTCCAAGAACGAACATATTAACTGTTCTATCTACCCTTAGAGATCAGTCAAGGTTTAAACTGCCAAGAAAATTATTTGCAGCATGGGAGATAACTGTAGTGAGTGTATGTGTGTGTGGGGTTATTAATTTTAAGATATGGCCTGTATTATTTTATTAACAAATTCTGAAGCACTGTACATCTAAAATGGCAGTGGACACAACTTTTATCTTAAGAGAGCAAAGTCGTCTATGCTGTAGCCATCAAAAAAAAAATTTCATAAACATTCATGGGCAATGAATACAGCGAACTCTTCAAAACTGGTATTTCATTTCAACATACAAATAAACACAGGTAAAAGTATATTGGTTTTAGGAGCCAGTCTTCCAACAACTACTGTGGTTGTTCACGTGGCCTTATAGGAATGGTAAGCCCTATTAATATGCAGATAAAAATAAACAGAATTAATTCTTTGTCACATTATGTGTGGAGCAGCCAAGTTCTTCTTCATGGACAATAACAGTAGTACAGATAAATAGGTATACATATACTGACCTCTTAAAAGTATATATATGCTGCATGTATCTCAGTAGATACCAAATACAAAATTAGGCTGCTGCCAGAGATAGCTTGGCAGAAGATGCATCTTGTCTTTATTTTTTTAAAAACAAAATATCTAACTCAGATTAGCTATCTCATTGTAAAAATCCTTATGAGGACAACACATTACAGTCTTCATTTCAAGTCAAGGTCAACAATGCTGGGAATAGAAACATAAATTCACCAAGCTAATAACTATCTTGATCCCCTCTCCATTCAGATTTAGTAAATAATGCATCTGACTTTAAAATGCTGCTGCAAAATCATAGCTTTTGGGGCAGCAGAGTCACAGTTTAAAATACAGACTTCGTTTTTCAAAAATACATGATTATTATTTTAACAGTTTAAAGAGTTACCTACAAAAGTACATTGAAACTTCCAGCTCAAGCATGTTGTAAATCATTATAGTATGTGAGAGAACACTTACAACAAAAATGCCTCTTGACACAGTGGCATTTCAAGGGATGAGAACTGGAGATGAAAAAAGCTACAATGACCAGGTTTGGGAATCTTGGCATAAATATAATTATTGTGTAAACAGAACTGAAGTCAAAAGTCTGCTTAGCCAAAGCTGCATGCTCAGTTTCTGTCAGTGCACAGGTCTGTCCCACAACTTGAACCAGATAAGCTTGTTATGCAAATTATGTTAGCCATCAGGAAGGAGGTAGATAATGAAATTATTCGAAAGCTAACCACTCATCACAAGGGTGACAGAAACAGCAGGCAAGGTCCTAACATATGGATAAAAAGCAGTATGGAATTTATACAATCACTGCTTTTAATTTATCATAACTAAGCTGTCACAAGGTAGGCATCAACAAAGGCATAACTAATGCATATAAATGAGCCAATTATCAGTAATGGCCAAAAGGTTTGCAGTTGTATGATCTAATGTTTCATTATTTAATTTTTTCTAGAAGATCCACTAATGTAAATCCAAGCCTCCAAAAAATATCGTCACCTCTGCATCATAATAACTTTACTAATATGTGCTTGAGAATGAAGCAATGTCACAGAGAATTTCATTTCAGTGTTGTCTTAAAGGTAGCTATAAATCCTGCATATTTATTACAATTATTGCATTTCTCCATGTTAAGAGGCTGCATATAAGCATACTTTGTGCATATTACTGTAAAAATGAAAAGCAAGATCTGAGAACCTGCATGATGTTGCTGGTGAGAGGAAGTAAATAAGCAAAAGTAATTAAAAATCATTGTGATTAAAAATACACAATTTGATGATATCAAAAACCCGAAGGACAAGATTAAAAACAAGTATAGCCATAAAGTACTAACATCTGACTTCTTTTATAAACAGTGCATGCTGAACTAAAGGACTGAGCAAATGTTAAGAAATGTTAACCTTAGTTTTTTGTACTGTTCTCAAGCTCAGCAGGGACTTCTAAAAAGGAAGATACCAAAGAAAGAAAAACCTGAGTAACAATGCTGAAGGTTGTTGCACAATGTTTCTGAGAAAGGAATGTAATGTTATTTACCAGGTGCATTCACTCTCTAAAGTACAAGTGTAATATAACCCACCACTGCTAGAGTCCCCCAGAATACACGCTACAGTCCATAAATACTGTAAAAACAATGTTTCTCTGTAATAGAATGGAATTAATCCACCACCCAGTGACTTTTGTAATTAAACACCAATTCCGCCATAGTTCACAACGTACACTGCTGTGTAAACAAGGTCATGGATTATGGAGAAACAGAACTTGGGTCAATCTGCTCTAGAGGAATGTACTTCTACTACCTACACTGGAAGAGATTGTGAGTTACATTGCAGTAATGATAGTAATGGCCTTCCTCTGTAGGCCAACCATTACAGTATACCTCAATTTCCTGCCTGGATAAAGACCAGCATACTAAATAAGATAAAATTTGCATTAGTCTTTCTTCAACTTCTCCTAAAACGGGAAGACACTACTACATGATTGACTGAAAAAGGTATTGTACTCCTGCACAAGTAACTAGATACATGAAGGACAGAACAGATTCAAAATGCAGATGTGCACATTTTCAAACCTATCTTGAAAAGTCAATACTGAAGAGTGGTGTTTAAAGTATTTGTTTTTTTGAACAGTGTAAACTTCCCAAGATTTTGATAATATTATTCCCCATGTTACACAGTTTAGGTTGTAATAGGCCACAATGAAATCCTGAAGAACTGAAAATCACTCATGAGAGTTGCTTTAAGATTTCTGAATATAATGCTAGCAACTACTGAACTGTGATTTCTCAGTTTCACTGTAAAAAGAAAAAAGTAAAGCAAAAGCATATTACAGTTCAGTGACAGCCACATCCAGAAAGTTGGCACCATCTAGGCAACATATTACACTCTTGGTACAAGTGATGCTCAATTACATATATTGGGTATATTATTAAATAATATTATTATTAAATAATATTGGGAATGTTATTAAAGTGGAAAAAGGCAGCTATTTTCTTTCTTGTTTTTCAAAATTGACCAGCAGTCATTTTCTCTAATGTTTTTTTCTCCTTGACACAAAATTTCACTGCAAAACCATGAAGGAAATCAGGTATATTTATAAACCTGTCCCAGGTCCATCAAAGTCAAGAAGCAATCAACTAAGGAGTTCAGAGAAGCTATGAAGTAAATTACATGAGATCAAACTGTGCTGTATAGCTTTCAAGAAGTGAAGCATGGTCTAGAGTCTATGAAAAGAAAACTGAAGTTAAAAACCTGCAAAAGCAACAACTCCATAAAACAAATTCTGTTTTCATATTGACACAGGTAGGCCTTGCTGAATAAGCTGTTTTTAAAAAAAAATAAAACTCACTGTGAAATGAAATGGTTGAATCCTCTGCACCATTTTTCAGGATGTAGCAAAGTAGGAGGAGGATTCCTGAAAAAATACAAAGTTTGGGGGTTAAAAATGTTAATGTTTACTGGAATTACCTCACAGATTTTATTGGTTCCACTAGGGAGAAAATGATGATCAAAAAAGTAATGCTCAAATTGTTTATGCGTCCCCTTCAAGATACCTATTGGGGTTTTCTTGCTGCTGCTTATTCACTGACAGTTCTCCTCTTTTCATGTCCTCCTCCTTTTATGTCAATACCTTTGAAGTTGGGAGTCAATATAGCTCACCGTGTGCTTCCCAACATTTCTCTTTCAATTCAGCCTGGCTCAGGAAGGATCAACCGAAACTGGAATATTAACTTACCCATCACACCATTTTAGCTTTTTACCACAGAACACTGACTCTGACCAAAACTTTTTAAAGTATGGATATCTTCACCGTAAGAACTACCAAACTATCAACAATCTGTAGGATTTTCAGTCTGGATTTCAATCTGTATTCAGTTTGGATGACAATGTAAAGTCTAAAACTATAAAAAATGGGTGTCAGTTTTAAAGTGACACTTAGCAGACAGTATTTTTACATACATAGTAAGATGGCCTTCCATAAGAACAATCTTTTAAACTCAGATGTGTTCCACGTTAGTTGGCATATAATTACTTTCCTTTCTGATTGTTACTGTCACAGTTAGATTACATAAACATACAGAGCAAGGCCTATAGGTCATATTAAGTGGACCAAATTTTAAGTGGCCCAACCTGTAGTAGGAAGTGTTCATGAACCACATATTATACTATACTATCTTCCAGAGGTTTCTTCTGCAACTTAAGATTTTATAAGTACTGAAGTCTATTTAACTTTTTAAGATAAAATTTATGTTTTATGAAACCTTAATGATTTGTCTTTTGATGCATTTGAGGGCTCAGTGCGAAGGGTCACATATCACTGAACTGGCATAAAAAAAAAAAACCCACAGTAAGACTTATTCTACAACAGAAACACTCACTGATATTCTGGATTGTATCATGAATCACCTTGTTTATACTGGGGCCACATTCCATAGCATGAAACTGCTTGGAAACATCTCACAAAACAAAAAGGCAAACAGCATAAACAACGTAAATTAGCACTGATCTGCTCAGTAGTCTTGAAATGTTCATGCATATTCATTCAAAGAGTAGTTCCATTTAACAACTACCCTCAAAAATCCAAACAAAATGGTTTAAAAAAAATTACAGTGTGCCTTTGTAATAGGTGGACTATTTTTGTTCATCTGTATCTATTCAAAACAAATGCAGTCATCTAATTTCACTGCAGGCTGACAAGTTTTCTGAGATGAATACGTTATTACTTAGGGAACACAATTTTTCTTCCTGAAGTGAAGAAATCCAGAATGTTTGAGATGTGCATCACTTATCAAATTTATCGTTATTCTGTTCATGCACATTACAGAATCTGGTTTTTTACAAGCATAAAAAAAACTCCATTAGAAAATATTTCTAGAGATAGTCCCAGGAAAAAAGAAAAAACAACTCACTCTATCAAAGAAAGGTAAACTTTAAAAATGTCCTTCTCTATAATGAAAACAGTTGTCAGTCCACACATCCCATATGCATGAACTCTGCAAACAGCTTTAAGGTACAGCCAGATGGGGTTAGTATATGTTTTTAGTCTTTATTTTATAGGAATGGTACTCTATCTGAGAATTTGGATTCCGGTAAGACCAACTTTTACTGTACTGTGAAGTACAGTGTATTTCTTTTTACAATGATACCAGCACTGTCTACTGAATATTTGCCACGAAATTTTGAATTTCACTGCAAAGTAGTTTGCTTTTTCAAAAGTTCAGTTACTATTAATGAAATACGTAGTTTTGTCTTTTCTGTTTGCACTGTTCTTACAGTCTTTTCACGGTGGAAACAATAGAGCTTACAAAAAGCATGTGCTTTGGAGGCTCTATTAATAATCTCACAAGGAACTTTTTGAAAAAAGACACAGAGATACTTATATTAGTTACAGATGTTATGATGGAAACAGGTGGGATTTCATCATGGAAGAACAGACCAGCAGAGCAGATATCATTCAGGAAATACATTTAGCCATTTGCTTGAACCCAATACTTTTGTATTTGTTGACAGAAGATACTATGTTATTCTTAGTGCCTTTGTAGTAAAAACAGAGAACTAGTAGTCCTCTGTACTTAAGTCACTAAATTGATGCTTCAAGTACCGCATCTATAAAATTGAGCTGATCAACACGGCTAGAACTTCAATTCATTAGCATCTGTAAAGTACATTGGTTCCCCTTGAGGAAAGATCTTACTTAACTATAAAGTACAAAATCAGCTCACCTTTTTCTGGCATCATGTCCATAAAGGATTTCCAGAAAGGGGCATAAGAGGGTCAGCTTACTACCTTCGTTTTACCTAAGACACCACAAACTGTTTCGTGGTGACAGCAGAAAACACCATTGCTTCCATGGCACCTCCAGAGGTAGATTTCTGCAGTAAGGACTCAAACTCAAGTTCTAGGATAACACAGAGCCAGATATGCACTTGTCCTGGTTACTTCTGGGACAGAGTGAATTTTCTTCCTAGTAGCTGGTATGGTGCTGTGTTTTGGATTTAGTACTAGAAGAATGTTGATAACACACTGATGTTTTGGTTGTTGCTGGGTAGTGCTTAGACTGGCCAAGGACTTCTCAGCTATGCCAGGCGCATGAGAAGCTGGGAGGGAACACAGCCAGGACAGCTGACCCAAACTGACCAAAGGGCTATTCCATACCATATGACGTCCTGCTCAGCATATAAGGCTGAGGGAAGAAGAAGGAAGGGGGGGACATTCGGAGTGATGGCGTCTGTCTTCCCAAGTAACTGTTATACGTGATGCTTTCCTGGAGATAGCTGAACACCTGCCTGCCGATAGGAAGTGGTGAATGAATTCCTTGCTTTGCTTTGCTTGCGTGCACAGCTTTTGCTTTCCCTATTAAACTGCCTTTATCTCAACCCACGAGTTTTCTCACTTTTACTCCTCTGATTCCCTCCCCCATCCCACTGTGGGGGGAGTGAGCAAGCGGCTGTGTGGTGATAAGTTGCCAGCTGGGGTTAAACCACGACAGCACTTTAAGCTTTTTTGTGAGCACACTAAGTCTTTTGCAGTTTGAAATTAATAATCCATTAAGATATCTGCAATTCATATCACATTAAAGAGAAAAGGCAAACCAACTTACGTATGTTATCACATGCTAAACCACAGAGGAGCAAACTTGCCTCACTATTCCAGCTCAAAGATCAAACTAGGGCCATTTGTGATTCCAGACTATATTAAATTAGGGACATGGTTTAGTGGTGGGATGGCAGGGTTAGGTTAAAGGTTGGACTCGATGATCTTAAAGGTCTTTTCCAACCAAAGCGATTCTATGATTCTATGATTCTAAATCCAACACATGGAGTTCTATGGCTTATTTATACTTGCATCAGCAAATATCACTGCATTTCACCAACATTTGTCTGTTTCTGCAGTATTCAGAACATATTCATAGAAAAACTAAAAAGCTACCTCTTGTTAACTTGCTGACATAACTTATTCTCCTCTCTTCATATAAAATTAGAATGCTTTGCATGCAACCTTTCAATCGTCCTTGCCACATATATAAGAAGCTGAAGGACAATATAGTCTTGTTTTCTACTATAAGTGATGGAAATTGTAAGAAGTAGATATGAATATTATTGTAAAAAAATGGGTATAATTGGACTTGTCTTTTGAAAATGTCCTCTTTTGATACAAGATGAGTAATCAACCATTTATTTCCCAACTTTGTATCTTTTTTGCTTTAGTTCTTTCTATAATTCATAATTAGTCACAGAACTACACGCTCTATTTCCTCAGGCATTGCTCTTGTGAGGAGTTTTTCTACCCTTGTATTCAGTGCCTTCCATGGTCATACTGACGCTGTTTTTCACTGGGAGTTTTGCTTTGGTGAGGACTGCAGGATTGTGCCTGTACAAGACACCCCATACAGGAGCACAATGTTCCTTAGAACATGAAGACATTAGCAAGCTTATCAAGCAAGAACTGCTGCTGAATTCTGAATGATACACACAGAGTATGTGCTGGAAATATTTTAATCTGTCAAGCTTTATGTGTTCCCTGTCATTCAGCCTGCGTCCAAAGTCACAGCTGGCAAAACAAAATCAGTCATTTTACCACAATAAGGCCAATGATGTAGCTCAGCGAGCACCACTCATCCTTTATGTTAAGCTGTGAGCCTAATTACAGATCACAGATAATAGATATTGGTTGGCAATGAGAAAACAAATATTTCCATCTTGAAATACTTCCACAAATTTTTAGAAATTGAAAACGCATCTACTATTTTCTAAACTATTTCTGTAAACATAGCCATACAATTTATGACAGAAACCAAGACAGGGCCTCCAATGACCAAACTGCATCATCAGCCTACCACATTGTTTCTAATGAGAAATTAGCAGATGAACATCTAACACCTGTCACCATGAACAGGCCCTGGCAATCACAGCCCCATACACGTATGTTGTGAATTATTTTTCTAGCAGACTGAAGAGACAATAGTTCTGTTGACAGTTGCCTAGGTTTACACATAGACAGTTTTTACATGAAATTAAACCATTCAAGAAACTAAGTGAAACAGCCATAGAAAAAGCACAGTACACCATGCATAATAATGAGATTTACGTC